AGTGTTATTGTGATGTGTATTTGTTTTTCCAGTGCGTAACCAGACTTATACATGTAGATGTATGTCTCTGGCATCTCACTATTAGGCAAAAGTTTTCAGTATTGACACTTGACTGTCCCTATCGGTACAAGGGTTTATTTTTCCAGTTTTTTTTTCTTCAAACTATGGCAAAATATCCAAATTATAACATTTATAATGCCACAAATAAATACAGACAATTTCTTATTTATTATTTTATTATATTATAGTATTTTTCAAATTTTGACATTTGCCAAGATATACTTAGTAAATGGTTTCGATAAGGAAATAAAACATTTTTTAATAATTTTAAGTTTATTTTGTATCTACAAGAAATCCTAATTGATTTATACAGAATGTTGTTATGCATGTACTATTAAAACAATTTCTTGTTATGTATTTAATTGTAGGTAAAAACGACAACGATTTAATTCATTTGCTTCATAAACTTGATAAGTTGGTAAGTAAGCTGTAAAAATATAAAAATTATGCATGAACTGTTATAATAATCTCACGGAGATAGGTATACACCTAACCGAATATTTGTACAATATTGGGTTAAATTCAATAGTTCATATAGTTTGGAACTTTCAAACCTTAATATTAACAGTATATTTTCTATGTCTCAAACTGAATAAAGAAACCAATTCACCACCATTAAAAATTTTGTAAGCATCTAAGTATCAAAGGTTTTATAAAATATTAGTTGGAGTTTATCATCATACACATAATTATTTTTATCTATATTTAACTTAAATAATATGTAATTTCAAACATGCACATTTTATGTGGACTGTTTCTAATCGATTAATACAGGTAACATGAGTATGAGTGTTCCACATAATGTTGGTAAAGATATAGGTTTGGTTTTTAATAAAATATAACTTAAAACTTACACATCGTATTCCCAGTATAATATAATAACAAATAGAAAACTCTTAAGCACTAAATAATTATAAACACAATTCTTGCAATACTATAATTTACAATTTTCAGAGGATAACCTAAGAAACCAAAGACAGATTTATATTCTGTGCCAAAGGTAACGAAAGCCAAACTTCAAATACGTGCAAAATCCAAACTGCATTACCAACCAACCCAAAATGACAGGGTTAGCATTCTCTGCGCCATCTTTTATTTTGGAAGCTAACTAACATGTGACGCCGCCATGACAGTTTCATTATTCAAATGTTAGATTTCATTCTACGTTAGTACTATATTTTCTATGACTAAAATCAATATAAATAAAATAAAATTGGTTATTTGCTTACTTTACTCGTAT